TTTGATGCACACTCACATACACGACCTCTACAGATTTTGTTATTTTACAGTACTATCGAATGAAACGAGTATTGAATTACCGGGTGTTAATCTGTGGAGAACACATTTTTTGCCGGACATTACCTGTAAATACGAACTAATTTACAAGGTGAAAGCAGACATCATGGAATTTTGGGTGAATTTGGAATTAGAGGAGCAATGTTCCGGTGTCACAAACACAGACAGTCATATAGTTGTTTACGACACTTTGAAACTATGAAGGTTGAATACATATAAATTGGTCTGCAAATGGAAGCAATTGATAGTGTCATGTTTTCTTCGAAAAACTATGACGTCATTGCTTATTATAGAGAAATGTCCGTCATGGAATCAGAGGGTAATCGTGTGTTATACCAACATCAGTGGCCATTGTTGAGTTAGTACAGCAAAATGGGGGAGGGCACCCTCGACATATAAGAATATCATACAAACTGAATGTAATTTAATGTTGTCTTATGTTCATGACCTAAACAGCGGTGGTCGTTGCGCACCACAAGTTCAAATGTCACGTAAATAAACAATTTATTTTACACGCGTTGTATCCGTCAATTCAATTCTGTTATAGCTTCACTGTGTTGAGTATGACATACGATTGTTATGTATTCCAACTGCCTACTCTGAGAGGTCCATTCAGCAGATGGGTCAATAGTTCAAAACGTAATTTATCAACTACTTCAATGTTGAAAGCTGTCTGGATTGTACACCCAGTCTATAATTTAAGTAAAAAATACATTTGTTGTTTTGAATGGAGGTCGAGAAAGTAACTGCATGGCACTGACGTTACAACTATAGTTATAATATGGGTGAAACATAACGCTTTTAAACTACAGATATACTGTTGATGATTAGTGTATGTTGTTTTACATGCGTGGCGATTATAACAGTTGTTAATTTTGCAAACAATATAACACACTCCCGAGACATGAGCTGAATCATCCATCGAGCTGTATTTTTATTGATGGAAGAAATAATTAATACAACCTGAAGGAAAGTCAATGGTGTGCGACACAGGAAACCATTTATTAATAATAACTCACCATATTATCAAGTTCATTTAGTTATTTTATAAATAACTTTTGATATCAAAGATCATAGTAATTATTTCATAACATCCTTGAATTAGCGATATTCGGGTCACATACATTAGAAATAACAGAAGAAAAAAAGAGTGTCGTCTGCTGTGTTTGATGCACACTCACATACACGACCACAGAGGGCACCTTCGACATATAAACATATCGTACAAACTGAAAATAATTTAATGTTGTCTTATTTTTATGAACTAAAGGGCGGTGATCGCGTCGCACCGCATGTTCAAATTTCACGGAAATAAACAATTTATTTTACACGCGTTGTATGTGTCGCTATGAGTCTCATATCGAAGGGAAGCGACGCGACCATCACAGTCCTTTAAAAATAACGTCCGTATCCGTGTTATTTTCAAATACATAATATATTTGTGAGAGATCAAGTCAGCGGGAATGTCAATAGTTTGTTTTCGTTTCCACCTAACTTATGCTAACGAACTGAAATGCTGTCTCTGCAAAAGTGAAATTATTAACACGTTGCTTGGGACGAGAATCAAAAATGCGATTGTATGACATCACAATTAATTATTGATGTTATTATTTAAATTGCGAAAGGTTTAATCCATTACATAAATTATTTTACTAGTCATATCAGTCGCACCAACCGTCAACAAATATTGTCATATTGAAACTTTAAAACAGAACAGTTCAACTCGTTACTATAGCTACAGGAGCGAATAATACTATAATAGATTGTATTTTAATACAATGCTCAGCCAGTTACTGAAATACCGCATATCACACAATCTTGTAGCTGAACACGTACATTACCAGTCAATGTGAATTTATTTACAAAGTGGAAGAACACATTGGCGAAATTTTGTTGATTTCAAATTAGAGAAGCGAGGTTTCGGTGAAACTTTGGGTATACGTGGAATCATGTAAATTGGTCTGAAACCGAAAGCAATTTACAGCGTCACTTTTTTACCGAATAACAAATGACGTCATTGTTGATTATATTGAATAGTCTAACATGAAATCACAAGTAAATCAGTGTGTATTACCAACATCATTGCAAGTCTCAATGTTATGTAAGCACAGCAAATGTGGAAAGCACAACTCAACATCTGTGAATAACAAGATAATATATCAACCTCTCCTAAGTGCCAACTAGCTAAAAGGCTTTGTCGGATAGCTAGAGTCTAAATGGGGAAAACGCCATTGCATGGCACGCTCGTTAGTATTTGAATTCCTAAGCTTCAAGCCATTTGATAAGTATTCTGAAATTAAAAACAACTGACCTATGACTTGCTTAAGAGAGTTATATAACGAAAGTATTGCTTTTGTTCCTAGTCACTTTTTGAATCTAGGTACGTGTGAGTAGAGGTTTAAGACTACTCATTATGGCTGAGAATGCTAGTAATAAATCTCTATTGTGTTATTATGTACAAGTTTAGAGCAACATTACCCTGGCAACATAACAAACATTTTGTGAGGAATGGCCAATGATCTTCATTCAACAGAATATAATTAGTGACCCTATAAATACTGTAAAGTCAACTTCCTTCAATGGTCAAGAGAAAAAATCAGATAATTGCTTGCTATTTTGATTATTGAGTGGAAAGTGACCTACATTATTTTGTTTATATCCAGTTAGACAGTGTTGACCTCACACTGTTCTATCACGACTGGAACCCACTAAAACACACAAATTACAGGAACACAATTAGTGATCACTGAATGTTTACATCTGTCATGCACTTTATAAGATTAGAATATTTCTACTATTGGATTTCGTTTTTATTTGGCAGTGTGTATGTGTGTGAATATGTGAACAATTTCTTCTCATGGTTTGTATTTTAATTCAGCTCTGATATTCGTTTGTCGATACTAATCGGTTCGAAAATATTAGTCAATATTTATACTTTTCTCTAGTGCATGTTGATATGTTTCACAGGTTTCACACTAAAACTATAATTTGCATCAAGGCCCAATAAACACTCACGAATTACTCCATCTAAACAAAATCAAGAGTATGGAGAAAAACCATAACGTATTTTTTCACATTTTCGAAATGACACATTGTCGTTTTGTACTTGTAATTTTGTATTACAACAAATTATTTTCAGTAATATCAGAGAACTATTGCCTTTTAAAAACTACAGACAGACCTCATCATTAGGCAAGTCACGTATACAGACACAGACAAGTAACTGACCTTTAGACACATAGTTCGTGACATCAATGTGCAATACAACGTAAATACCTATGTCAGCAAATACATTTAAGCAATTCGTGACTCGGCATTCATACAAACTGAAAATACTTCAATCCTGTTATAGCTTCACTGTGTTTAATATGACCTAAGATTATATGGTGTTCTCATTGCTTACTTCTGAGAGGTTCATTCAGCAGAAGAGTCAATAGTTCAAAACGTAATTTATCAACTACTTCAATGTTGACAACTAGCTGGAATGTACACCCAGTCTATAGATTAAGAAAGGAATACATTGGTTCTTGATGGAAGAAAGAATTAATACAGCCTAAAGGATAGTCAGTGGTCTGCGACCTAGGAAACCATTTATTAATAATGACTCACCATATTACGAAGTTCACTTAGTTATCTTATAAATAAATTTTGATATCAACGGCCATAGTAATTATTTCATAACATCCTTGAATTAGCGATATTCGGGACACATACATTAGAAATAACAGAAGAACAACAGAGTGTCGTCTGCTGTGTTTGATGCACACTCACATCGACGACCTCTACAGCTTTTGTTTAGACAAGACATCATTGTCATTTTCCAGCACTATCGAATGCAACGAGTATTGAATTACCGGGTGTTAATCTGTGGAGAACAAATTTGTTGCCGGACATTACCAATAAATACGAACTCATTTACGGGGTGAAAGCAGACAATGGGGAACTTTCGGTGAATTTGGAATTAGAGGAGCAATGTTCCGGTGTCACAAACACAGACAGACTACACTTTGAAACGATGAAGGTTTATTACATATAAATTGGTCTGCAACTGGAAGCAATTGTCATGTTTTCGTCAAAAAACTATGACGTCATTGCTTATTATAGAGAATTGTCCGTCATGAAATCAGAGGGTAATCGTGTGTTATACCAACATCAGTGGCCATTGTTGAGTTATCACCGCAAAATGGCCAGAGGGCACCCTCGACATATATGAATATCATACAAACTGAAAGTATTTTAATGTTGTCTTATTTTCATAAACTAAATGGCGGTGGTCGTTGCGCACCGCATGTTCAAATTTCACGTAAATAAACAATTTATTTCACACGTGTTGTATGCGTAGCTATGAGTCTCATATCGAATAGAAGCGACGCGACCACCACAGTCCTCTAAGAATAAAGTACGTATCCGTGTTTTTTTCAAATACATAATATATTTGTGAGAGATCAAGTCAGCGGGAAGGTCAATAGTTTTTATCGTTTCCACCTAACTTATGCTAACGAACTGAAATTCTGTCTCTGCAAAAGTGAAATTATTAACACGTTGCTTTGGGACGAGAATCAAAAATGCGATTGTATGACATCACAATTAATTATTGGTGTTATTATTTAAATTGCGAAAGGTTTAATTTATTAAATAAATTATTTTAATAGACATATCCATTGCACCAAATGTCAACAAATATTGTCATAACATTAAAACAGAACAGTTCAACTCGTTACTATAGCTACAAGAGTGAATACTACTATAATAAATTGTATTTTAATCCCCGTTACTGAAACACCACATGTTACACAATTTTGTAGTTGAACACGTACATTACCAGACAATGTGAATTAATTTACAAAGTGAAAACAGACATTGGCTGATTTTTGTTGATTTGGAAATTAGAGAAGCTAGGTTTCGATGAAACTTAAAAAGGGTGTACGTGGAATCATGTAAATTGGTCTGAAACTGAAAGCAATTCATAGCGTCACGTTTTCACCGAAAATAGAATGACGTCATTGTTGATTCTAATGAATTGTCTAACATCATGTCACAGGACAATGAATGTGTTATACCAACATCATTACAAGCCTCATTGTTATGTAAGCACAGAAAATGGGGGAACACAATCACTATACGTGAATAACAAGATAATATATCAATCTCACCTAAGTGCATATTGACAAAAACACACTTTCTGTGGATAGTAGAATGTCATTGCATGGCTTGGTCATTATTATATTAAATTTCCAAACTTCAAACCATTTTATAAGTGTTCTAAAAGTTAAAACAACTGACCTAAGACTTGTTCGAAAAAGATATAGTGAAAATATTGCACTTGTTCGTAGTCACCTTTTGGATCTAGGTACGTGTGAGTAGAGATTTAAGCTTCTCATTACCATAATGCTGTTAATAAATCACCATTGTGTTATTTGTGCAACATTTCCATGGTAACATAGGACAAATAGTGTAAGGAATGCTGTTACTATATCTCACCAGCTAACTATTAGGTCTAAAATATAATATTCCTGCTTTAAAACCAATGGCCGTCATTCAACAAAATATAACTAGTGACCCAACAAATGGTGTCTGCCAACTTATTTCATTCGTCAAGAGAACTAATCAGAAAATTGATTGGTATTTGTTTTGATGAATGGAAAGAGACTTACTTTTAAATTAAATTATCTTGTGTATATATATTTAGACATACGTTGTATACGTTGAGTCTCATGTAGAATAACGTTCGCATCCATCTTTTTTATTCAAATACGTAATATATTTGTTAGAGATCCAGTCAGCAGACAGATCGATATTTTAACCGATTTCTTATTATTACTGAGTCATATACTCTTATACATAACTGAAAAATACACGGATGAAATATAATGTGGGATGTATGTAAATTGGTATGAATTTTACACAAACCTAATATAGTTTAATTTGTTTGTTCAACTACCTAATTATAACAGGTCACTTTAGCAGCACATAGTATATCAGGTGATGTGTAACCCCGGAAAAGAGTATCAGATAAAAACATGTAGTTCACTGTGAACTTGAAAACAGTCACAAAGTAGAAGCAAACATTGTAGTTTGTTATCTTTTCCATTAATTGAGTTTTACAGGTTTGAGGTTTCATCATTAGTGTGCCACACTCGCAAATAAATACCGAAATGGACACAAGTAGATAATCATTGTAAACTTGTATAAACCTGTTACAAAGTAATTTACCAGTGTCATGTTTTCACTGAAATTAAAATGACGTCATTACCGAGAATTGTTTGATCAGAGAACAACCAGTGACACACAAAACGGTTCATTAATATGTTACCCAAGTGACTGGTATGATATTGCATGACATATAAATGACAGATAATATAATGGAGTCCCCAAGATATTGGTAATGCATTCTCTAACAGCATGAAAGGCCAATTTAGTAGATGTGACAATAATTCAAAACATTGAGTTCACTTAAATGCCACACCGTCTCGATTGGGGCATATTAGGAACATGTACCAAGTTTCATTAAAATGTGATGAAAAAGTCGCAATCGACTAATCCTAATTGTGCAAATTAGGTAATTAATATGCATTGATTTTTACACAAAACTGATAAAATCTGTGCATTACATAGCACGTATGTACCAAGTGTCATCAAAATCCATTGAGTGGTCCCTGGAACAGGTAATAATTAGATAGTCATCGCGTTTACTGCTCGCAAGATCTAAGTGGAATAAGTGACAAGATGACGGGAGAATATACAGCATTATTTTTTATGAACCAAAAACTAGTATCGTTGGTCTCTTGCAGTCAACAATATCTCGTCGTCCTTTGTCTCAAAGAATATCAAAGTAGTACGATCATTATGCAAGGCAGTCAAATAGTGATTTGTATTGACACTCTGGCCAAATGAGATTGTTCCGTGAATAAACATCAGAAATCAGATAAATAATTTGTTTTAATTATATGTTTTTCCATGCACGTACTAACGTTAGTGCGTCCATGGTTTTACGTAAAACCCATCAACATGCATCAACATGAATCAATAGCCACACAATCAGTCATTATTAACATTTATTAAACATAACTACACACGAAACATCATAATTAATACTAGAACGAACACTACAATTTGGTAGACAAATCTATTATTTAAACTGTCACATGTGATATGCATATAAAACGACGTGGCACTGTCTTCTCAACACGTAATTAATGCATTGTTCAGACACATGTGAATATGCTAATAAGAACGATTAACAATTCGAAGTTTCTGAACGCCAACATCTTTTCCTACCAAATCCTTGGATTATGAGCTTATGCGTTAATTTTCAACTAGATGTAATGATCATTCGGGAATTAATACAAAACCACTAGCAACCAGCGCAAAATTACTGTTTTTTAATAGTTGAGCCGAATAGTACATGTTTGATAAACATGGAAGGTAGAGCAATGTATATGATTTGATTACATACTGACAAATATCTCTACAGTGAAATAATATGTGTTGAGTTGATTTTTTTTTTTCAATTTGCGCTTAGAACACTACTTATGTACTTTTGCATAGGTTTCGAAATTTCAATTCGTTCAGTCACTTCCGTCCATGCTTCTTTGAGATCAGGGGCGTTATATATCCCAGCAATTTCTAATTCTCTTTCAATGACGAGTAATTTATGTTCCTGCAAAATAAAGTACATTGACAGGGTCAGAATATAAATCAACAAAGGTGACAATTTTAATAGAAGATCTTAGTAATAATATTGCAATAATTACCGGTATCGGAAATTTTTCTCTTAGTGACTCAAACAAACTGTTAACAGTTTTAATAGTCTGTGCCTCCCCGCTACCTTTAATTAAAACAAAAACAATACCAGGTTATATACCTCTCATGAACTCTATGCAAGAACGAGTCATTTTTAATGATGTCATGTCGCCTGTGTTAATGATCTTAAAATACACTCCTTGCTTTATAAAATATTAGTCAACAAAAATGACCAATGTGCAAATATTTTCTTTTTTGTCCATAACTAATCTAATTGTTGCTCAATATTTTGAATCAAAACTTCACATGATATACAATATAAAGTTTGTTAGTTTCGTGTTGGGGGCTGTAAAAGATTGTTTCGTCAATATTCACAAATGTTTCACAAATCATCTTATTACATGAATTTGTTCATAAGGTATTATACTCATATCACAGAAGATAATTGATATATTACCACCATTGCGCACCAGACTATTGCATTTTATTTTTGTTCAATCTGAGTTGATCCAATTATAAAGTACAAGGATTACACGAGAGATAGTACAGTAAACATCCCTATTTCGTTGTGTCCATATAACTCTTATTGTCAGTGCAACATGCTCTAAATTTGATGCATCATAACTTTTTAATTGAAAAATATTTAGAACTATACTGACATATTTGCATGTTTTTTACGACTTAGTCATGCTCATACATATGTATTTTGAAAATTAGCGAATAATTGATTAATTGGCTCACATTAAAGAGTTGAATTTAAATTAACTTTGACACGTCTCGTTCGATTCGTTTTAAGTATTAAAATATTCATCACATTGTGTATTCCATTCAGATACTATCGTAGCATCAAATCTGTAAGATTATTATAACATTGATATCGACTTTACCATAAATTAGCATATGTGATTAACTGAAAAGCGAATATTGCCCTTACCAGCTTCTCTCTGTTGCTTGCGCATGGCTATTCTAATGTATCGTTCGCCCATGATAAGAGCTGCGGTCAGCACATCACAGGTTATTCCTTCAATGTCAGGACGTGGAGGTTGACTGAGTATATCTCCAGTGTAGTTGGTGACAAAGAATGTATGATTTATAGCGCTGCCAGTGGCTGCCGAGACGCTGGTCTATAAGGATAAGTAAAATGATTATTTTCTTTTCTAAGCATATTTTCTATTACCTATTACTGTAATTTTTAAAACGTTTCAACCCTGCCAATGCTATGACATAGGTGGATAGTTACCCAAAAATATAGCAAAACAACACGATTTAATTGGCATATTAGAATTTTAACAAAGTACAATGGGCATATAACAATATACATTGAACATTTACACACATGCATAGAAAAATGTGTTGAGTGATACAGAAGTTAATGTGAAATGAATGGACATTCACAAAAATACAGACCCCAAGGTTAAGACCAAGAGATGAGTGAGTTGAGAACACTACACATGCCACTTATGAAATTTACTACATAAAACAGTTGAGAACTGAGATGGTACACTCATACACTGGAGTGACGGGCAATCTAACATCACATCATCAGAGGTCTATCCCGACTTAGTGGGTTTGTTGGTGAAATGTTTTTTGAAACGTTTTCAACAGCGAATTTACCTTTATATCTTCGATCTCGGATTCGTCCACTTGATCTCTGTGCGTGATGACAGTAATTGTACCAATACCTACAACCAATCACATGAAGTGCAATTATTGGTCAAACCGCATTGTAGTGTTAAATATTTATTTTTTAAATTATTAAGTACGAATAACTGGTTACAGCGAATATACGAACCTCTGGGTCTCAAATACTTTCGCATTGGATTCAAACTCGTTTCCAGTTGTTTTATTCGGGGGTCTTTAGCACTAACTACGAACACAACACTGTGTATCCAATTAAACACGTCTCCTTCCTCTCCTACTTCAGCTGGTCTGGCATCACTGTTGAAATCAACTTCGTTTCCTACTGTGACGTTACCAAACAATATATTGGAGAATGCAGCCAACTCACTTATACCGTATGTCCCAAATCCTCTTGTGTCGACTAGTTTATAATGCCAGTCACCGTAGAGGTAATCCATTAAACGAATAGTGCCCTCTCCACCTTCTGTTTTTACATCAGCCGTTCCTTTGATGTAAAACATCAAAATGTATATATTAAATATAGTTAATTATTTATTCATGTATTAATTAAAATAGTACGGGAGGCAACACATGCCATTCATACAGATGGTTACAGGTAAAAACTATTCGAAATTCAATATTTAAATTCGCATGAGTAATTCATTCATACCTCTATTGATCTCATTTATAATCCGTTCACATGTGTATATGAAGCTGCTCTTCCCAGCACCTGCAGGCCCAAATACGCCAATTTTAATAGCACCCGGCTGTTGAAATTCTAATACATCCAGACCTTCAAATGATTCAATATGATTATATTCTCCGAATGTATATTCACGCAGTTTGTTTCTTTTTAGATCGACTTTTTTAAATTCAGCTTCAAGGTTCTCTTGTTTTATTTTTTCTTGCCGCTGCTTATTTTGAGCTTCCTCTTGTTCCTTCCTAATCTCCCTTTTGATATCTTTGTCTGTGGTATCTTCATAGATGACATGTACCTGTTTGCAGAAAAGGTGCATTTTATTACTCTTTTTTATGTAAACCGCGTACAGTTGTTCATTTATTACATTCGAAAATAATACTTTGCTTTATTTTACAAGTATACTCACCTTGCTCTCTGACGAACCCATGGTGTTCAGTTATTGACATAAACATGTACAGAGGTGTTCTTAGCAGATCTTCTCACTGTCATGTGATGTATTCAGTAAGATGTGAAGGTTATTAACATCAGCAATTTTTTGTTTAAGAAAGTAGAATTACTAAGATAATGTACATTTACTTTATGTTGGTTAAACACTACACATTTAACTATTAGCATTTTCACAAGTAATCTATCATGGAACTTGAGCGACCTCGATATTCATTTTGGCAAGTATTATTACATTGTCACCACATGTACTTTGCTTGAAAACGTGAGATCACAGAGATCACTATACTGTTGAGAGGCCAGCCACATCACTAGTTTAGGTTTCACTTTAATAATTATCTGATAACTGAACAGGATAAATATATTCGCCTACTGAAATCTATAGGGAGTATATGGGAATGTAGATAAATGTCTTTTATATTTTGCCTCACATAATTGGTAATTGGGAGCTATAATTATAATCTTGAAATAATATTAACCATATAACGAAGTCATAAGTTCTAAGGCCAGTTGATCTTATTGGCAAATAAGATTGCCACGCAACTTGTATTGCTCTCCTAAATAGTGTTATATTCTCTACCATCATCGCTCACATGAATCACTCAAAAGCCTCTACTAAAACCTAGCAGGTCAGTCGTACAAAACTCATTACATCTTGCATGTGTGTCAAGTGTAAATAAAGTTTGTGAAGTGAATCAGAAAATAAAAGATGGCCACCAGTCGGGCAAAAACAAGTTGCAATACACTAAAAAATTGCACTTTGCCATGTTTAATCCAAATCCAAATTAATGTACATATGTTTAATATACTAGAATGTGTCTTTGCATGTGTGTCAAGTGTAAATAAAGTTTGTGAAGTGAATCGGAAAATAAAAGATGGCCACCAGTCGGGCAAAAACAAGTTGCAATACACTAAAAAATTGCACTTTGCCATGTTTAATCCAAATCCAAATTCATGTGCATATGTTTAATATACTAGAATGTGTCTTGTCTATATACCAAATTTGAAAAACAAATCGCTTCAGGCACCTCTGAAAAATGCCTCCGAGTGGACGAAGCACGGACGTACTGATGGCCGAAACCCAAAACATAGATAAACACAGTCGGAATACGTCCAAATGTAATAGAAGAATATAATTTGTCATTGCATAAGCAACTGTTTGACATTGCTAATCTGATTTGATAAGCAATAAAACAAAAGAAAGACAGAATAACAATATCGGCGACCTCAAATTGAGGTGTAGAGCGATGTTAAACAACCTCTGTATAAAATGAGGTGCATTTTGGTAGATATACCGAATTATTAGGTATAATAAATGAACACGAAATGTAAATACACAGAACGCTAGATATGGACAGATGGTTGTGAATATTATCTTGAAGATAATTCCTGATTGTGGCTACATTGCGACATTGCCGAAGCTTTTGTTTTCAAACCAGCCTGATTTCAATTCTTCTTGGTGTTATATTCGAGCACATCATTATAATAGCAAATGTACGTTTTACATTCAGTAACGGACAACACATATTGAAACACAGTACACTTACCTCAGTGCTGTTGCGTGAGTCAGGGATGAAATCGAATGGTGTAGAACTGAGCTTTAAAAACCTTAAATAAGCAAAGCTCAAACAATTCGTTGGAAAAGCGCCCTCTGCTTTAAAAATAACGTGTCACGGTGTGTGTGCGTGTTTGGGATTTCCAAAGTACTGACTGGCGTAAGTTTCGTAGACAAATCGTACGATGATTAATTCCATGATGAAAAAAAAATCCCACGTTTTCTGACTACTGCATGACTCCATGTATGTCACGTGACGCTCACACTCAGCTAATTAGAATATTATTTGCATGATAATGTAGTTTACATGTATAAAATACATTCGCAGTTCTCCAACTACGTTGACACACCTAAACGCAGTTCTGTCGATAAGAAGTCCACACATTTAACAACGACAGCGACGTTGTCATTATGGGGGGAGAGCAAAGTAGAGAAGAAACGGTAAGTTCGACAAACTTACATCTTTCTAAATAGATTATATTCTTATTCTCGATTGAATGTACAGATGGAGTATAGGAGAAAATGAAATCGGACATTTAAAAACAAATCGTTGCTTCAAAACAAAATTACAAGCAATGGCCCGTATACCAGTATCATACACTGGATGTCCTAATTTTACCCGCTGAATTATGGTGCCATATTAAGTATGGCTCTCCTATTATTAGGTATTCCGTGATAATAATTTGCAATCACGAATTATTTCATTATATATATTTGAATTCAGAGTGAATTAGACATTTTATTATTAAAGACAACTGCAGTTTCGTGTGTCGCTGTTATCTCGCGCTTTAATACACTTCTTAAGATGTGAAATCAGATATGTATTTGCGTCTTAAAGGTCTATTGCCAGGTGATCCGCCACCAAGATTGTCGTTGTTTATTAGTAATGTTTGTTTTTAGTTGTGTAATTTTGAGAATTCTATACACTGTGACATAAAATTACTGATGTAATATTCATGACACTTATATCCAAAGCCGGGATATGTGGTGAATCGAGAGGATTACTCGAACAGTAATTCATGAGGTCAATTTTATAATCACCGATAGCTTGAATTAATGATCTCTAGGTAGTTGTGAATGTAATTGGAAGCAGCACGGAGGTAACTATACTAACGATCCAGAACGCACTGGAACACGTAGAACGAGATAATAACGGCCCCAAATGTATGGAAACGCCGGCCAAAACAGCCTAGGAATTTACTGCGTGTCACTGTGGCATATTGTAGTAAAGCGCCATGCTTGAAACACTTAGTCTCAAAGATAAAGAACATATTATTAACTTTGGCGGCTCTCTCACAAAAGTGTTCTTTTTTGTTTTGTTTTAATTTGTGGAACTCTGGAAAGAGGCTGCAATAATTTGGTATTTTGCAGCGCAATTTGACCAAAAATTACCAACATATTTAAAATCACTACATCCTTGGTTAGTAGGTTTGACAGAAACACAACTTATTAACTCGTGTTATCGGAAAGGCAGATTTTCTATGAAAAATCCATATTTAAAATATGGTAGGATAGTTAATTGAAGATGTGAGATTGGTAGCATTAATATTATTTGGAAATGTTACATTTTAGTATGAATAAAAGTTGTCAATACTAAACTGAATGTACTATTTTTGTATTGCTAGAGGTACGTTTCTGACGACAAAAAACTACAGGATGCAATAGACAAGGAGCGGGAAAGACTCAAAGAAGAAAAATATCGAAGAGAGAAGGAACGCCAAACAAAGAAATTGGAAGCATACTTGGAAAAACAAATACCGAAACTACAAAATTATGAATTCGGTAACAGTCTGGGCAAAGATGCGTTTTCTTCCATTCCATGCAGTGATATGAAGGTTATTAAAATAGGTTCGTTTACACAGTATGTTAATGAGTTATATGTCATCAATCAGTGATACATAAATAACTACTGTGGATAATAACAATATTTTCATATTTTTGTTATTACATAGTTGTATTTGGACCAACTGGGGCTGGAAAGTCATGTTTCATAAACATGGTACAGCATGTAGTTGAAGGTCGTAGTTTCGAGCAGTGCAATGCCCAGACACAGAGTACTGGCAAAGAAGGAACTATCCATTTGGAATCACATCTGAACAACTATAATTTCCGCCTCTTGGATACGAGAGGTTTCTTCGAAGAGAGAACCTATATGTCTGAACTGGATTCCATACTGTCAGGTAAAAATTTGCCCATGGGAGTATATTTATATTGACACAGATACTGTTGTGGCACCTACATAACCGAGTTTGACCCCATTTCTTCTATGTCCTATCAATTTGTCAGAAATACACTGGAAATCGTGAAATCAGAAACTAAAGATTGACTACATGCGTGTTTATAGAGAGATTTACTGTCCATGTATAGTAAAGCATTTATAAAAAACAGAGAGATAACAATGAGTAGAACGTTATTGCAGAAAATGAGAAACTGTATATTTATTGTAGGTGGGATTAAAGTTGATGAACTCATTAAAAGAGACACAGATAACATGCAGGGACGTGTATCACCGACCGCATCACAGGTTTCATCACTGGCAGATCGGGTCCATGGCCTCATATGTGTCTTAGATTATGACGATCCAAGATTCAACATGTACAACGATCGTATGAAGGAGTACAGAAAGCAATTTAAAAAAGAAGGCGAGTTCTAAAATATGTTATCACAAAATATCAGTCGTGACAGATTTGTTATTTGAAAAGTATAATTAAGGTAGCGAGACTATTATTTGTGTTGAAAATTACGATTTTCACATTTATTTATTAATTGATGAAATGCACTATAAACGTTCATCTGACAAAGTCAACGTAACCTAGAATGTCATGTAAGTTGGTTAAAATGTAGATTTTCTGAAGGGAAGCAAGGCAGCTTCAGTAGTGTTTTCTAAAATCAACAACACAGGTTTAATTTGTGTGTCTATAAGTTTCAAAGATTAACTCAAGACAAAGCAATGTTAGGATGTGTTATCAGTAGCTATCAGACATTTGAGTGGTTTGTCTCCGCCTCTGTTTATTTCACAGATTAGTCATTTGCATATGAATGTGTTAGACACAAGGTCACACAGCCACTGAAAAAAAATCATTGATTTTAGTGTTTGCATCTGCCGATTTTATCGAACTATAGCTATCCCATTCCTTTATTTTGGTTTCCAATAGCCTTACACATTTGGATGTCCCTACACATGTTAAAACAGACCTTGGTGGGAAAACAAATCCATTGTACCGATAAACAAGCTTGAAAATCTTTGCTGTGACTTCATCGCCGTTTTCTAGGAGTTTATGTTTTTCAAAATACAAGGTCTTTAACAAAAAATAACGTATACTTATTGTCGTCGGATTAACACCAAATTTTCACAGCTTTCAGGTGACAATGAGAGGAACTTGAATGTGTCCAGACAAACTATTTCATGGATTATTTACCAATGTGTTGTGGTTTGAGTTGGGGTCAATGCGACTAAAACAGAAATTAAAATTCAGGACACTACTTTTCAAAACGCGTTACTTGAATAGAACTGACCAGACACACTCAATTTACCAGACTATTGAACAACTAGGAAAAGTGAAAACAAAACTTCTTATCACCAGCATAAATGCGTAATTATTTTTTTTTTACAAAAAAAAGTAATTTTTCACTTTTGATTAAACACACCTTTGAAAAGCTTGAAGTCTGGCGATTCCAAAAATGTATACTTTCCTGGGTCTATTTGTAGTCGTTTGGTCCCAATTAGAAGATGGAAACAAGTATGCAAATAATAGTCCCGCTACCTTAATTCATTTTTATCATAGGATATTCCCCTGTGTCAGTGGTCGTATACAAATCGCATGGCGATATCCCGGATGAAGAGGCAAAAGAAAGAACAGCTGAGGCGGCTTCAGCTATAGGGTCGCCAATAGATCGTACTTTCATTCTAAGAAATCATATTGCCAGTTCAGAAAAAGAGGTTACTGTTCCTTCTAAAGTCGCACTGATACAGGCACTTGAAACAGCCCTAATAGGAGCTGAGATGTATGTTAAAATAAAGAAACTCGCTGATACTAAGAACAGGAAAAAGACAGGTAGGATATTCAATTAATATATTGCAATCAACTGAACATTGAACACTAGCAATAGAAAAGTTATTTGTTGTACATCTCAAAAGTAATGTAAAGTTCTTTTATCCCCATTGTATTCAGATATGACGCTTGATAAGTTCTTGAAAGAAGCACGGGCAAGACATGGTTGGAAAGACGATGATGTTACCAATATAAAGGAAACATTCAACAAGAACGATATCTACGATTTAGCCAGTTTGAAATTGTTTTGGCCAGACATCAAAGATGATGTCAAGAAATGGGGAGTGCGTCTTTTTCTAGGGAAAGAATTAGAGCGAACAGATGTTCATTGAACTGGGGAGGGCAAGATTTTGCGTTGATTGTTCTATATTACTTTATAGCATTTTTTGTGGTATTAGATATTAATTTTTATATCATCATTGTATCAAATTATAACATTACTGTAATATTAGACTTACAACGTGCTATAAATTAGTAATTGAAGGTTAGGGCACAAACGGTTGCAGTAACATTTACAAACAAGCCAGAAACAATAGTTTAGCATACTTATCGGCATTAACAACGATTTGCATTTGACAAAAATGTAACTGTTTCAATCTAAATTGTTTTAGAGTGAGTTTAAATAATGAGTCAATCAACATGGGGCGAGAAAGGAAATGTGTGGAGAGTTTAGATTAACCTTGTCCATGCGGTAATCTGGCTTACGTGGTAATCCGGCTTTAATGCTTATATATTTGAGCCCCGTATTCGTTGCAAGAACAAATAATTAAATACTGTAACAATGGCCATGCGTTATACATATATGTCAAATCCTAATTATAATTTGTATATTACACATAGGCACGAATGTAATCATCTTTATTTAGAAAACTATTTTATCGTAAGGGATTGAAAACTTGTCTTTCAAACTGTTTTATGAAATAATGTAAGCGTAAACAAGCTGGTTTTGAAATGACAGACAGATACATGAGAGTGAGAGGTCGGTAAGGTCAACTCTTCAAATAATAGTATGGAACTGTCCATACTGATGACAATGTTTACTATTTGAGTTTAAGAACTAAAAAAATCTTTTTTTTTTTTTTTTAAATATTGTAAACTTGACTTATCGGTTCTATAAGATTTATTAATAGTAGTATAAACCATCACTGTTAAAGTCATCACCCAGTTATTAAGCATGTAGCCGATCCGAAGAGCTGTACATCTACATGTGTCCGCTGGCGACACTTAAAGCGAGTATGCCAAGAAGACTGGTATAGTGTCATCTATCAATCGGTCTCCTCGTTTTGATCTGTTCTCAAAGGTCAAGGCTGATTTTTGTTATTGACCTCAATAACATGACATTTAAATTTATTTGATATAATGGGACCGAAAATGCTAATGCGATTTAGAAACGCGACAGAGGCATCAGACAAGTGAATTTAAATCGAAAACGTGATGGCATGCCTCTAGACTGTACACAGACGTACATTTTCACGCCTGAATAATGCATTCATTTTTTTAAACCTGCTACTTGGGGTATGTGTTATGCTTCTTCTATACATAACAGACGAACTACTATATATATATATATATATATATATATATATATATATATATATATATATATATATATATATATATATATATATATATCAGTTCTTTTTATTTAGATCATGGCAATTTTTTGGTCAGAGCGCCCTCTAGTTTTGTGGAGAATCATGTTCATTTGGAATGCTCTGATTGGATGGAAGTTCAAGCCTAGCAAGGTGTGATAGAATTGGCCTGTTATGTTCAGATTCAAATAAGCATGAACCACTAATTTGACAGGGAAGTGATACTTATAATGCAGCAAG